ATTTGGGGAAGGAGTCCCTCCCCTTCAATCCAGGAGACTCACTGTTACAGCTGGTGCAGGGGTCCCCCGTCCTCTTCAGTAAAAGGGAGGCTGCATCTGTATCTAGAGGACAGCAGGAAGGCGTCACATGGAGTGTCCTGAGCACACTAGCTGGATGTGGTATCTAGTGTGATAGTGTGAGTCCCGGGAGAATGGAAGCCCTGGAGGGCACGGCTGTTGTCTGCTTGATGCATTAAATGATGGTTGTTCCTAGAAAAGCCCCTGTCCCTCGGGGCCCTTCCTATGTATTTGAGGAATGAGTGAGCTCACCCAGCCCCACAGCACACATCTGTGTGGGCCTGGGACCCCACTTGTCCCTCCCAGGGATCCCTGCTCTCGTTCTCCCAGGACAGGGACAGCTAATGGCATCACAGATCCCCTTTGAAATGGGAAAACACTTCCACCCAAGGCCAAAGTCCCAGTGACACAGGAGGCAGAGGCTTCCTCATGGGCAGGAGGAAAATGACAAATTCACACAACCACAGCCCCGCCAGCTGCCGTTTCTGTGAGCCAGGGCCCCAGAAAGCATTTTTGGTGGTCTCCCTCTGTTCCTCCCCTCCTAGGGCCTGATCGTCTGTTGACCCCAGCGTGCAAGGGGGCAAACTGAGGCTTAGGGAGGCAGAGGAACAATGCCTCATGTCACTGCTAGTAAGTGGGCCGAGTCTTCAATGTCCCATGAGGACAGAGTGCTCACCTTTGGAACAGATGGTCTAGCACCTGCTGGGTGGTGGCAAAAGTTCAATAATTGCCCAGAAATGTGTTCACATAGGAGGGGTGGCCGCCCAGGACGGCAGACACCAGGTTGGCCACCAGCTTCTCCAGCCTGTGTCGCTGGAGGCTCCACACCCTGTAGGTCTCACCCCTGCTCCCTGATGGTCCATCTTCCCCCTGGGGTGGAAAGAGGAGAGACATGAGTCAGAGGCAGCACCGGGGACCCCCAAGGGTTGGGGCTGGAGACCAGACTGAATCCTCAAACCTCAAGGTCTTGTGCCAGAGGTGGAAGAGGGGATCCCTGAGCAGATTCAAGGTTCTTGGCATCACCAGTACAAGGGGCGGATGGCGATGATTAAATGCATTAGTGTCTCAGATCATTGTGTCAGCACCGCAGTGACAGTACCTCCCTGCATGAATTACCTCATCCCTGTGACTGCTGTCACAGCATCCCATTCCAGAGATGAGAACACAGAGGCTGATCCCTGGGTGGGAGGGACGAGGTTTGTCAGGCCAACGTGGGCACATGGGGATGGAGGAGAAACAGGGCAATGTGTAGAAAAATGCAGAAACACTGTTGACTTAACATGAACTGAAGTTCTGTCCAAGTCTCTTTCTGAGATTTGGACTCATATGTGGTCATTCACTTTGCATCTGGCCAAGGCAGGGCCTGGGCTATGAGGGTGGGTGGGAGAGATGGGGCATCAAATTCCTTGGCCAGCAGGTCTCTAAGAGGCAGCCCGGGGAGGAGCGGGGCAGCTGTTGGGCCCAGGGCTTCCTGGACGTTGAGTCTCCTCACTCACACTCACCCTCCGCCCATCCTGGGCTCTGCTGGTGTTGTGGGGCACCTGCCCCTCCTGCAGGGAGATGGAGTGGGGGACTCCATGGTCCAGGTCCTGTCCCATCTCCTGTGTGGAGTCCTGCAAACACAGTGCCCAGCGGCCAAGCAGAAACCTCAGAGCCCTGTCTGGTTATCTTGGTGGTTCTCCAACCCATAAGACATCTCCAGTCCTGACACACATACACCACTGTCTGTACAGACCTCCTCCA